TAAAATGTAATAGAAGCTAGAGAAGAACAATTGCAACTTAATATATTCACAGGCAATATAACATGATTGCTATTGCTTTTTGTAAATGTAGTTGATAATCAAACTTTCTAAAACCTTCAATTGTATGAATGCTTCAAACTATCTTTAATATTTGATGTTAAGAAATATTTCTTTCTGTTGAGTCCTAGACCTTTTGTTTTTAATTCAAGCAATCAAACTGCCAAATTACTGTAATTATTAACAGCATAGGTCATTGATAATCAGTTGAATTTTAGAACTGTTTTGGGAAACCTTTACTTCTCGCATTATTGTATATTGTAAGGTCAATGGGATAAACTGCTTGAAGCACAGTAGATTTTATAATCTTAAATATAGTTGCACTCACTATTGTATAAATAATTCTATTGTTATAATAAAGTATTACTTTTGACTTTGTGTAATAGTGTTTTCTAATTCTTTGACTCATCAGATGCACAATAATTAAACTTTCTAAAAAAATAAAATAAATTTGCCAGTACTCTCACGAATTGAAAACATGATAAACTCTCAATTTTTGCCTTTTGAGTTTAGTGGTTACTGTAAATATCATTATAAAATGTCCAATTTTAAAAAAATTTTGGGCCCTGAAGAAGTTTTGGTGCCAATTGAAATTAAAAATTTGAATTAAACTCAGAAAATTTCATAGCAATGGGTAAAGTCATTCCTGGTGCAAAAAGTATAAGAAGTAATAGTGAAAGGTCAAGTGACAGAATCAAAAATCAAAAGAAAACTTCCCAGGACATTTCATCAGTAAGCAATTTATTTTAGTTTTTTACAGTATACTGTTATATTGATTGATATTAGACTCGCATTAACATGATAAACATCCCTAAGGATGAAGTACTATGAAAACAGTTGATACAAAATGTTCATCAAGAAAAGTGGTCACACAAAAAGCAGATGTTTATATGTTCTGCATGACCACTTTTGTTCTGGTTGCATTGTCCATACTGTTCTGTTCTCAGAAAGCAGACACTTATATGTTCTGACCACTTCTGTTCTGGCTTCATTGTTCATTGTCCATATGTTCTGGCTTCATTGTCCATACACAATCTTTTTACTGAGCTAGATCACCATATTTTTGACTCACCAGTTGGTGAAAATCATGTTATATTTCAGTTGACCAAGAGCATCATCAAGAGTTACTGTGAGGTTAAGTTTACCATCTTGGAAAAAAGACCACTGAGAATTCATCTGGACAAAAAATTAGAAAGAAATTAAATAAACTTGTACCTTTTAAGCACCAGTGTGAGTGATTACACAGAATGCATCAGAGAAAGCTAAATATTACTAGAATTTACTATGAAACTGCCCAAGCTGAAAGTGCTCTGCTGAGACTCTGTCTCAAACATAATTTTATGCTGAGACTCTGTCTCAAACATAATTTTACTAAAGATTTATAGTGAAAACTGCCCAAGCTGAAAGTGCAAACTCTGTCTCAAACGTTTCACTAAAGATTTAGAGTGAAAACTACCCAAGCTGAAAGTGCAGACTCAGACTGTCTCAAACATTTCACTAAAGATTTACAGTGAATTGCCCAAACTGAAAGTGCAGACTCTGTTTTTTTTACAGTATAAACTGCCTACGCCGATAGTCGAAACGTTACTTACCAACTTCCATTTCCATAAAGTGGCGCCAGAAACCGTAAGTACATGTATTGATTAGACGATACTTCACCAGAGAATCATTCACAGATTCAAAACAAATATATAAAGAATGTCGTAATTTGAAATTTTTAGCTTTAAAATGCGATTCAAAGACAACAACATCGCCAATTAATTTTTTTTCTTGTACCCTTTTCCAAAAAAGCTGCGATTTCAAGGCGAACGTACCTCAAAAAGGTATTTTTAATCCAGAAATGCAAAAAAGCCTTGAAAAGTATAGTATTTTCTATAGCATTTCATTGATGAGTGGGAACGACCAATATGGCCGCCGCCTATTTTCATGGGGGAAACCGCTGAGATTTTTGGCTTCAGTTTTGTATTCCGAGATGCGCTATCTAGTGTATATGAGATATCTATGGTTCGAACATATGGTTTATATATATATATATATATATATATATATATATATATATATATATATATATATATATATATAATCTGCGAAAAAAAGCGAATATTCCGACGTATTCCCGTCTCTATATGGGTCGGAATAAAATACATATTCCGACTCATATTGCGTGTAGGAATATGTCAGAAATATCACAAATATTCCTTTTTTCCATACCACTAGGAATATTGATGATATTCCTAAGCAGCTTCATAGGAGCATACCCCGGAATATATTTTTCTGGTTTGTTTTTGTTATGATTTTTTGTTCTGTATATTTCTCATAGACTTCTTGCAACATATATTCAACATATTTTTTGTTTTTGTTTTTTTATGATATTTGAACATGGGGTGATTTAAGAGCTTCGCGTGTCACTGTATCTTTACATTTGGAATTAGTAACTAATAAATACAATTAAATAACTATATGGTGGCAATATGGTTGAACTGCCTTTGTATGTAGTATTGGTAATGGGAAACGCCAACGTGGCTTTGGCCATGCATCCTGCTTGGTCATGAATCAGTGACACAATGACATCGCACGCGCGTGGAACGTCTTCGAGCGTACACTGCAAAAACAGGTGCGTTCAATTACACACCAAGGTGTGTTTAATTACACACCAATGTGTGTTTAATTACACACCAAGGTGTGTATATTTTACACACCTTCTTATACAATTTTAGAAAACACGCCTTTGTGTGTTAGATAACACACCATGGTGTGTAACAAAACACACCTAGGGGTGCTAAGAAACACACCTGTATTTTACACACCTTTTCGAATACACATTTGATACTTATAAGGTGTGTTCAATAACACACATTTTTAATTTAATGAAAACACACCTTGGTGTGTTCGAGAACACACCTCATACTTATTTGCAAAAACACATCTTGGTGTGTTAGATAACACACCCTACACCGATTGTGGAAAACACTCGTGCATGGTGTATACTGAAAAATGCTTTTTAGGAACGTACAATAAATCCAATCATCAATCACGGTAATGGTATAATATGCTATAATATGATTTTCGGATATACTGTATACAGCAGATGTGAATGGCGGTATTGACTTTGCGAAATCTAGTTTTACGTGTCTAATAACCGTTTGATATTTGTAATTTGTTGTGTAATATTTTATCCTTCGCATGTAGTAAGAGCATTACTTGGACTATTTCTTTTTTAAGAGATTAATCTGTCTTTAGCACGTACACCATTAATATCTGAAAATCTGAAATATAGGTAACTGGCCTTTTGAAGTCTTTGAAGCTCTTCGGATCGAAAGAAACGAAAATTCTCACGACGAGCGCGGTTTTACAGACCGGTGCCTAGGTTTCGTATTATACGCGCAAAGCTTCCCGGGATAGCGTCATTTATTCAGACCGCCATATTTTTCAAACCTTCATTCTGAATTTATGGGTTCGAAAAATTCGCTTTTTTAAGCGACGACGAATGACTTGAACGAAGAGGAAAGAGCGGGGATGACTGAATAATGTTCAGGTAAGGATATTGTTATGTTACTTGACCTTTATGGTCTACAAAAACCTGCCCTAAATCTTTTAGGATCATACTTAGAAAACAGATTTCTGTATTGGAATGTAGACAATAATCTCTCTGCGATCGCCTTTTGGACGATGTTTATTTACGTTTTGTTAGAGCATGCGCATAGGAGCTAATATGGCGTGCGAAGGAAAACAGTGTTTTACCTAAATTTACTATTTTGTAATTTTCCATATATTTTGATAATTAAAGTGAGTTGAAACCTGTTTTTCGCCTCATTTACTGGCAATCCCAGTACAGTAAAACACTAACGTTCGCAGTGGCATTTCAGAATTGTGAAGAAGCCTAAATACAAAGGAGTTTCGCAGCCCAAAACTTGTGTATTGCTTGAAGACAAATCCAGGAATCAGCCATGAATGTTGAAGATAAAAAACAAGAAAGAAGCAAGGCTAAAATGGCGGTCACTGTCGCTGCGAGGCGTCTGATCGGAGCCTACAACAGAGATTGTGAATATGATATTTTAAAGGATTCAATGTTCGAACTTGAAAAGGTATTTGATGATTTTTGCGTTATAAATGAGGAATACGAACTCATTGTATCTGACGAAAAATACGCTGAACACCGTGTAGTTAATGGTGAAGACATTAGGACTTCCAGAGACAATGTAAAAAGGTGCTATCAAGAAGCTAGGAGTGTATTTGTTAATGTAAAGGCAACAATCGAACAAAAGGCTAGACAACAAAGTGCTGGGCCTGTCAAAGTTGCCCTAAAGAATGACATTTGTAGAATTCATGAACTAATCACAGTCGTTGATGAGAGTTTTAAACTGGAAAATGTGAATATGGCAGCTTTACAACTAGATAAGAATGATCTACAGTCAATTTTGAACATAATATGTGATAACATGGCAAAACTTGGCTCGATTGAAACACAAGAGCAAGTTAACCTAATCCAAGAAGATGTCGATGCTATTATCAGAGCAGTTTACAATTGCATCAGAAAGATAAACTTGTTTTTGCATGAGCAACAAGCATTTGTTAAATCATTACACATTGAAACTGCCACTCTCCCCTCTGAAACCAACACCCCCCCTGAGAACATCAACACCGTATTCCTTCCGGAGATCAACACCAACATCCCCCTGAGGACACTGAGACCATCAACACCATGTCTCCCCCCGGAAATCAACACCAACACCCCCCTGAGAACACTGAGACCATCAACACCATGTCTCCCCCCGGAAATCAACACCAACACCCCCCTGAGAACACTGAGACCATCAACACCATGTCTCCCCCCGGAAATCAACACCAACACCCCCCTGAGACCATGAACATCAACACCCCCCCGGATATCAACACCAACACCCCCCCTGAGGACACGGATACCATTAACACCATGTCCCCCCCAGAAACCAACACCCCCCCTGAGACCATCAGCACCACTTCCCCCTCGGTAATCAACACCAATATCCCCCCTGAGCCCATTTACACTGCAACCCACCCTGAAATTATTGACACCCCTGCTATCGAGACCAACACAATTCCACCTATGTTGCCAATTAACGCTTCCCCCCTTAATTACTCCAGTCCCTTTGGCACCCAAGTTACCACCAACATTACAGAGGCCAACACCCCCCTACCAACCTTACCTGGGACCAGTACGGGTTTTTGCTTGAATACATCAGCTCAAACCTTCATTCCCTCTTCCACCTTTCATTCAGAAAGCAGTTCCACATCGGGACAAACGCATTTGTCTCAGCAATGTCAGAATCCTACAAATTTATCAACAGGTTTCCCTGCATTTGCAATGCCAATGGGATCAAATCTGCCAAGAGTGGCATCCAGCTATTATAGCAACCACAATCAGACCAGGAGCAATTTGTCAAGCAGTCCTATGTATACAACCCCATCTGGACATCAACCCACAGTCCCGTTG